AAGACAGAAAATCTTCATCTGCAGAAGGAAGCATAAAATTAGCACAGCCACAGAGGAATAATTTTAATTCCTCTTTATAGTAAAGCAGTAATAAGTGCTTGATAATTTACTATTACCTATATATTTTAGTATCTTTCTAGTGATAGGTTTTTTCAACTGCATTGTATTGTGAAAATACAGGAAGTGGAGTTTGTTAACAATTAAAATGTTACAATTTTTAAAAAATCCTTTCAGGCCATGTTTGCAGGACCTGAAAATGTCTCAGAACCAGCTGGTTTTCAGCAAGCTATGGACCTTCCCTCCAGTAATCAATGGTTAAGCATTTGACTTCTGGTCCGGCACCTATTATGATCCACCTGGAAGTTGCAGTGGCAAGGCTGGGACAGTCACCGTGTTCCTGAAACTGTCTTTTCTAGCTGCATGTTCTATAGGCTCATTAAGTGCCTTCCAGTGTTTTTATTTGGATCTTGTGATCATTTATTGTTGTAGCTCATGCAGTGCCTTCTGTTTTTCTGGTGGCTGGAGAAGGGACTCTAGTATTTCTAGTCACATTAACTCCTGTCTTTAGAACTTTACCAACCCTTGTTAAGCTGTGTTACTTTGCCAAGCAGAAGAGCACTAATCAGAAATTTACTTCCTCCCTTGGGAGGTAATTGTCCCACATTAGGAGATCCTACAGTCTGGGAAGGTTTTGACAGCTCCTCTGTCATGCACACAGCTAACTCCCTGGAGACACGTGGCTTCCCTCTCTCTTGTCCAGGGGAAAAGTTGTTCTAAATGTTGGAGCTCTAGGGAGTGTTGGGATTTCTAAAGGGTGTGTCTCTTTGGAAAAGGTACCCTGCTAAAATGCTCTCAGAATGAAGGTGCAGGAGCTCAGCTTTGAGCACATGATAGCAATGAGAGGATACAGGAGATATTTTAATCACTGGCATGGGTGGCTAAAGCCTGTGCTCTTGTATCTCTGTTTCCTGTGGTTCCTGGGTGGTGGTAGAACAAGAACCACAGCTAAATTTTGTGTTGTTAATGCATGACATATAATCTCACTTCCATTTACAGCTGATTTATAAATTAAAAAATGTGTTCTCTATCCACTGACCACTCAGATCTCAATCTGGGATTTTAGATTCACATTCAGTTCTTTGGTTCTTTATGCTCATTAGTGTAAATGGCTTGGACTAGTTTTATGTCTTCAGTGAACCTTGTATAAATTCATAATCTGATGTCACTTCACTGAGGCAGAGCTTGTTGCAGATTTGAGAGCAGCCCTGTGGAGAAGGTTTGGGGGTGTTGGTTGACAAGAAGCAGCATTTCTATACTTAAAAGGGGCCTACAGGAAAGGCAGGGGGGACTCTTTATCAGGGAGTGTAGTGGTAGGACAGGGAGTAACTGTTTTAAACTGAAAGAGGGTAGTTTTAGGTTAGATACTAGGAAGAGATTCTCCACTGTGAAGGTGGTGAGACGCTGGAACAGGCTGTGCAGAGGGGCTATGGTTGTCGCCTCTCTGGGAGTGTTCAAGTCCAGGCTGCATGGGGCTTTGAGCAACCTCATCTAGTGGAAGGTGTCTACAGGAAGGTGCAAAGTCAGAAAAGGCAAAAGAAGCAAACAAGCAAGTGCTGCTTTGATGAACTGAGCAAGGTGTGGAAGCAACGGTCGAGCACTGGGCAGTGTTGAGCTCAGGACTGGTGCATGGGCTGTAAATATAAATCCGAGCTCAGCTTCTGCAAAGTGAACAGGTGTTATGGCCTCCAGTCCATTGATTCCCAAAATAAGACATGTGGAAAATTGCTGATCCATGAAACTCCATTAAGAGCTTGGCAGGACCTCCAGAGCATAAACAATTATGAATGTGTTGGTTAAAGTTTGTTGATGGTAAATGGCAATTGCAGAAATTTTAAGAGTTGGTGATGCTCTGTTGGTATGAACCTTTTTTGTTAAATGAGAATGTCCTTTGCCAGGAAATGATGGTCTGTCCATGACTTGAGGACTTGGCTCCTCTTCCTCTCGAGTTGTAGCTGGCACCGAGCTGTATTTCTTTCCTAGCAATATCTAATACCAAAGTGAGTAAGTAGTGTCTTTTTTTGTGTGTGTGCAAACATAATTTCCATATCTTAAATTATCCAGTTGTGTCTCATTACAAACTATTGGCTATGAATCTAAGGGAAGAATGTGTACTGATTATTTAAAGTCTTGTCTCCAACATGATGGCTGGAGTTGGTTTTTTTCATAACTTTTCATAACTTCTCCTGTATTTCAATGGAGGAGACAATTACAGAACACTTACTGTTCAGGACAAAGAAGATGTAAGATGCTAATTAAAAAAATTCAAGGTAGATGTTTATTGGAGAAGCTTAATTTTGCATGTGAAAATTAAAACATCTTTCTTCATGAAACAGTACATTGCAGGGTAATGTGGATTTTTTTTTGTATTTGTCAAGCGTGCTATAATCCACACTCTGCTGAAAGCCTGATTAAATTTTGTAGCAAATTCTGCTTTCTTTAGTCTTTACAGTAGTTTCTGTGACAGTCTTAAAGACATTAAAATGAGAGCTATATGAAAATGAATAATTTAATATATTGTATGTGTAAGGTTTTATTTTACATTTTATAGTAACTTAAAGTTTTGCATTTGTTTCCTGCATTTTGAGCCATCACTACGTAACTTCCACCTAACAGGAAAACTTTGAGACTTTTTGTTTACTGGAAATGGAACCATTCATGATTTGAAGAAGGTTTGGGTGGAATTTGTGTGGGAAAAATTAATAATCTAAGTTAGACATTGAAGAACTAGCAGTAGAAAAAAGTAATAGTTTGATGTTAATTGATAAAACAGTAACATTATGTTTGGACAGAGATTAATTTATATTACACATGAGCTTGTAGGTGGTTTTTTTTTTGTGTGTTTTCTTTTTTTGTTCAGTGATAGAGGCATGAGATACTGAAATGTGAACTTCAAATTTGAAACACAGTTAGGGAAAAACGTGGTTTAAAATAGATTTTATGAGAATTCTGCTTACAAAGATTTTGAGTATACCAGTTGCATATTTGAATAAAGTGACCAAATGCATATTAGGAATATCAGGCACTATGAAAAGTCAGGGTGGTTTTTTTTTGAGGTCTCTCTACCCATTTGTAATTTTTTCAGTGTGAAAGGATATTTCTTTTCATTTGATCCGTTACTATAGAGCTGAAAACTTTCAGGCCAAATTAGGCACTCAGTGTTGCTTGTTGAGGAGTGACTGAGGGAATAACGTGAAAAAAGACTGATAGAGGAATCACTGGGGCCTTCAGAATTTAGTGGGGATAATTTACTGGCATAAACATTGCTGTAGCTTAATTTGTTTCACATAATGTACTCTAAATAATTTTTAGACTCATTAATAGCTGCATTTCTTTATTATTTGTTCTAGTGTGCTATTTTTTTTGTTAAAGACCTGAATAAAATTTCAGCTTTCATGTCATCCATTGAAGCATTAAACGATAAATCCTTGCAGGTTCAAAGAAAAGAAAGAGGCTATAAAGGGCTTTGTTTATAGCGATTTTTGTGTCGATTTTCTGGTGGCGTGGGCCTTCTAGCTGGGTTCTTAATGCCTTTTTCCCCCTTTTCTCTGTAGCCCCCTAATTGTAACTACTCCTTATTGCCACTTGAGGTCAGCAGCTGCCGGGGAAACGAAGGAAATCCACTCTCCTCATTGCTGTCTGCTTTCATTTGCTTTATTCAGAATACTTAAAAATCAACACATTCTTCAGATCCATATATACATGGTGCAAAACCGAAAAGGATCTTCTAAACGCACAGCAGCTCCAGCAGCCATCCTTGTGAGTTACTACAGAGTGAAAATCAGAATGGCCTGAGGGAGCCTTCATGGGCTGGCTGAGTGGCGTTGAGTGGTGGTTGGGGCAGAGGAGGGGCTCCTGTACAGTGTGGTGCTGACAGGGTTTGTACTAAATTAGTGAGAATAAATCCGAGTGGAATAAGGTGTTATTGCTGCAGGGGATCGTTTGGTATCCACAAATGGCAAGTGTTTTTCCTGTTTATTGCAGTCGCAATCAGTGGTCTGTTAAGATGAGGGGAAGATGTTGCCTAAAAGGATTCCACCCCACCTTGCCTTTAATGTTTACTTAAAAAAAACCCAAACCAAGTCAAGAAACAAAAGGAACATGAAGGTGGTGCCCAAATTGCTGACCAAGGTTTGGGAAACAAGTGTTCTGCTCTTGGCTCTGTCATAGGCTTACTGTTGGCTAGTAATTTCCTTAGCTTGGCTCTCAGTTGCCTATATGGAACTCAGAAAAGAGAGATTCACTTTTCTGGTAAAGTCTTAGAAGAAATAGGGGGTTTTTAGTATACTATTTGAACAGTGGGAGGATCAACAGCAGCATCACACACGAATCTTGGTGTCCCCTTTCCTGAAATTTAAACTGTTGTTTCATGTGAGTATTGTCCTTGCTGTCCTAGATAGTTGTGTAACAATGGTAGTAAACATATCCTTTTTTTTGGAAGTGACCACTTTTTAATAATTTACAAAGTTATCCCCATGCATGATTGGCACCAGCTGATATTCCTGTCAAACCTTTTATCCAAAAATCCCCCTGCACCAGGCCAATTTAACAAATGATACAGACAAGGATCAATTTCCTGATCACCAAAATGCAGCAGGGGAGCTGTAGGTTAAGTATCAGGAAGTACTTTTTTAGCTATAACACTGATTAAGTCAAAAGAACAAACTGCCAAATGAAGTTGGGTAATTGCCATCACTAGAGATTTTCCAGGCTATGAGTATGCATCCATTTAATGAGGATGGCTTAAAAATAATACAGGCAGTTTTGCCACGGTTCAGCACTTGGACTGAATGACTTAT